AAGGCGAAGCCCGGGCCCGACCGGGAAGGCGCGCGGAGAGGCCCCCCCGCCCGCGCCAACGGCTCGTCAGGTAAACAAGGCCTCGACCCGGGCCGCGCACTTACCGGGAGGCGCGACCTCGCGGCCGCAGAGCCCCGCGAGGCCAGAGCAGGTCAGGCCGTGCCAGAGAAGTCTGACTGGGACTCAGCGACGGCGGAGGCGGCGAGCAGACGCCGGTCGGGCCCCGCTGCTTCCTCCAACAGAGCCGTCCCCGCAGCTCCGGAAGTGCTCTGCGCAGTTGCGTCACTTCCGGCTGGGGTCGCCCGGCGGTCGGCGGCGGGGTCCTGGGAGGGCTTCCCCTCGGAGCTGCTCTGAGGTGAACGTGTTCTCCCACCGAGTTGGGCTGGGATTTCGGCGCCAGCAGCTGCGGGAGGCAACAGAGGCCTTGGCCTATGGAAGGAAAGAGCTAAACATCTTTTCCTGCTTTGGCTCACCAGCGTCTCCGGCCGAGATATTTTTAACAGCAGCCTTTCTGACTGGCTCCTTACTCCGGCTTAGGGCACCGAGAAGACAGCCCAGCGTCCGCGGGGTGGATTAAGGATCCTGGGCTTCCGGCAGCTGCCTGGCTGAAGGGGAGCCAGATGGGGATTCTGCCAGTCTGTCTCAAGAGGGAGTTGCTAGGTGGACCGTGCCTGCTTTGGCTTTGTCCACCACTGCCCAGTTCTTCAGCCTCCTCTTACACACAAGATTACATGTTTTTGTTTCACTTTCTCCTCTCGCAGCATAGGAACTGTCATTAGTACTTACAGCACCTTCTGAGACCGGTAGCCAAATGTGTGGGTAGCGAGTAAAACGGATCCTAACCTAACTGCAGCCATTTTGCCTAGTACAGCTACAGCCATTTTATTCTCCGCCACTGGACTTGGCTAAACCGCAGGATTCGTTATCAAACTGAAATTTTTGTGAAGGTTCTGAAAACAACTTTGTTTCATGCGGCTGTGGTTGCCACAAGTTACCCAATGTACCATAGCCTTCAGTTATGCTTATCTTCGTTTCTGTAACTGCCCTATAAAAGAGACATATTTTGTAATCAGGACCCAGACTTCGGAGACTACTCCTCTGGGTCCACCAGCGTTAAAAGAAGTTTCCTTTCTTCACGTGAGCTCCTGCTGTCAACTCAATTTTCCCGTAACTTTCTGCTGTGTCCACTGGGAAATGAGAGAAGACAGCTGCAGCCTTGCACGGCCCTTGCCGTGGGTTGTGGCGGCAGGTCTCCCCCACTGCACCTCCAGGCAGCACTCCGAGAGGAGGCGCGCCCCTCTGACTTCTGAGGTCCGCTCTGCAGCCTCTGCGGTGCCGACCTGGGCACCCCAGCCTCCATTGCCAGTTCTAAAAGAGAACGAACTAAACCGTCCAGACTTCTGAATCAGGTAAGACCCTTCTGGGTTCTTCTGGTAGTCAAGCCCGTCCCAGCAGGCAGAAGAGGAGCTTTATCACCCCTTAGTCAGATTCCAAAATTTTGGGTGGTGGGTGGTATGTTTTACCTCTGAATGAACCCCTGGTAAGCCAGCTGCTCTGGATGCTCCTGTCTGTGACTCCTCAGCTTCAGCTATGGAGTCTGAGTGGGCTTGTCCTGCAGGTCCGGGGTCTGTCACATGGCTCAGGGGCGATTCACTCCCGTGTAATAGGAGTCACTGACTGGGCCTGGGATCACATGCACTATTGCTAAGATAGACCTTTGTGCCCGAGAGGGGTGGGCCCAGACCAGCATCTGAGTGGTCTTCCCATACAAGGGCACTCCTCCTTTGTTGCATCTCCGAACAACGTGCTTGTACAGAGTCAGCATGGGATCTAGTCATACTAAACCCACTGCCCTAGAATGCCTCCTGAAAAACATTAAGAAGGGTTTCTCTGGTGACTGTGGAATTAAAATGAAACCTGGATGGCTCCACACCTTCTGTGAGATCAACCGGCCACTTGGCCTCCTGAAGGGACATTAAATGAAAGAGAAGTCCACCGCATCAGGGATGCAGTGGTAGAGATGGGACCCAAAGGCCAGCTGAACCAATTTCCCTACATCGATTCCTGGCTAACTTTGGCTCTGAATCTTCTGCCTTGGCTCCGCTTCTGCACCATGTGCCAACCAAATCCATCCTCCTCATGAAATTTCACATCCCTTCTAACAAAAAGGGACACACCAGTTTACCTACAGGGCCTATCAAGGCCATCCTCTACAAGGACCCCTCAAGTTCAGATCTGCCACCACCTTATCAGCCACCACCACCAGCTACAGCCCCTTCTACTGAGGCACCCGAACTTCCCAGTCCCCCACCAGCACCCCATTATTCTTTGCCCACTCCTCCACCAGTCTACCCACCATTACCTCACCCCGTTCCATTGCCCCCAACTCCAGGGAGTCCAATCAGTCATTGCCTGTATTTGGCCATGCAGGCCCTCTGTCTGGGGCCCTCTGCCTTACAGTTGCCCTGCACACCTACCCTGCCAATTGGTGCCCTCTAAGGGTACAGAGGGCTCCACTCCTCCCCCTGTTCTCTACAGCAGCCCTTCAGTACAATTGACCTGTTCAGCTGGAAACTCCTTACTCCTTACTTGTGGAAAAACCGCAAGACATGATCGATCTGCTAACCTCCATCTTCCCAACTCATTAGCCCACTTGGGATGATTGTCAAAAACTCCTTGTGACCTTGTTCAACATTAAAGAATGCCATATCCTGACAGAAGCAGAAAACTGGTTAAAGGGGGAAGTCCTTGCTCAGATCTGATGGATGGGTCGCTTCAGCCTTTCCAAAGGACCAACCTGCCTGAGACTGCAGTACACCAGAAGGAAATGAGGCCATTCAGCAGTACTGACAGGCTCTTCTCAGAAGCCTCAAAAAGAGGAGAAAAAAAGCCCATCAATATGTCAAAAGTTGGGCTGGGGATATAGCTCAATGGCACAAGCGCTTGCCTAGCAAGCGCAGGGTCCTGAGTTTGATTCCCAGTACCAAAAAAAAAAAAAAAAAAAAAAATGTCAAAAGTCACTCAGATTTCTGTGAGAGACTCTGTGAAGCCTACAGGGTCTACACCCCCTTTCACCCTCAGGTTGAAGAAAACCTGCAGATGATAAATGTGCAAGATGCAAAGGTTATGGGCACTGGAAAAATGAATGCCAGCTCAGATTAAAAGACAAGGACCCGCAAAGGTTTTAACTAGAGCCAGAAGACAATCTTTTCATCAGCCTGGCAGATTCAGACTAGGCCAGACCAGGCTGTATCCACTGGATCCCCAAGAGCCCATGGTCTAAGTACAAATTGGCAGCCACCATCACCTTTTCCCCAAAACCCACTTCTCTGTCCCTCTCAGCTCCACAGTCATACTTCCTCCTCACCATCAGTCCCATGGGAGGAGGAATGGAGACTGATGAACATACAATGAGATGAAGCAAATCCAGAAATTCTCAAGCCCTTTTTCCCCAAGTTTGGGCTGAAGACTCTCCACCTGGATTGGCTATCAATTACCTGCCCCTGATTGTGGAACTCCACCCTGGTGTGACCCCCACTTGTATGAGATAATATCCCATGTCCCAGGAGGCCAAATTGAGAACACAGCCTCACATTCAGACTCCAGAGTTAGAGAATTCTCACAGAATTCCAGTCACCCAGAAATACTCCCCTTCTACCTGTCAAGAAGCTGAATGGAAAATATCACCCCATCCAGAATCTCCAAGCTATCAATACCACTGTGGTTGCCCTGCACCCTGCAGTTTCAAATCTTTGCACCTTTCTCAGTCTTCTGTCACCCTCAACCCACTGGTATACTTGTCTAGACCTAAATGATGCCTTCTTCTGCCTCCAGTTGGCCTCTGCCAGCCAACCTGTCTTCACTTCCTTCTTTTAATTTTTATTTTTTCTCTCTTCACTTTCAAATGAGAAGACCATCACTCTGGACTCGACAGTCAACTGGCTTGGAACTGACTGCCTCAAGGATTCAAGAATTTACCTACCCAGTTTGGAGAGGCTCTTGCTGGTCTCGCCCGTTTCCCCAGTTCAGACTATCCGTGTACCCTCCTCCAATATGTAGATGATCTTCTTCTGGCCAGTGAAATTCAACCCAAATGTTGGGAGGGCCCCACAGCCTTACTACAACACTTGACAGAGACTGGATACAAAATTTCATGGAAAAAGGCTCAGATTTGCCAACAGAAGATCAGATACCTGGGATTTGACCTAAATCAGGAACACCATGCCCTCTGAAAGAAAAGAGGTTATTTGTTCCATCCTGGACCCAACCACAAGAAAGAAACTCCCAAACTCCATTGGAGCAGCTGGCTTCTGCAGAATCTGGATTGCTGAGTTCACGGAGAAAGCAAGGCCCCTATATGATGCCTTGTCTGGAAAAGACTTTGACATCTTAAACTGGAACCCAGAACAAGAAAAAGCCTTCAGTGACATTTTTTTTTTATACCAGGAATTGAACTCAGGATCCTGAGCTTGCCAGGCAGGTACTATGCCACTGACCTATATCCCTGGCTTCAATAACATTTAAAAGACCTTAACACCCTTCGCCTTGGGTGTTCCAGATGTGAGTGACCCTTTTAAGCATGTTTTTGTTTTTTTGTTTTTTGTTTTTTTGATACCGGGAATCGAACTCAGGACCTTGTACTTGCCAGGCAGGCATTTATGCCACTGAGCTATATCCCCCCAGCCTGTGACTCACCCTTTTAATCTGCTTGTCCATGAACAATGACATGTCGCCTTGGGGGTACTCACCCAGAGCATTGCCCCATGGGACCAACCAGTGACTTATTCATCTAAGAACCTGGACCCTATTGCCAAAGGCTAGCTGCTCTGCCTCCACATCCTGGCAACTACTGTTCTGATTAAGGAATCTGGCAAGCTCATGCTAGGACAAAATCTGACTGTTCAGGTGCTAGACCTTCTCAATAACCCAGGACACCACTGGCTTTCCAACAGCTGATTTACCCAATATCAGGGACTTTTATGTGAGAACCCTCTTTGATATTGGCAGCTGTATGACTGCTCAACACAGCCACCTACTTGACCACCGAGCTGGGCCCTTTTAACCACAATTGCCTCACACTGAATGATAGACTGTCCTCGAACTGCCTGAACCTGAAAATGGAACTCATGACAGATGCTGAGTGTGCTCTGTTTATGGATAGAAGTAACTGTCAAAAAGGGAGTCCAATAGGCAAGATATGCTATGGTCACCTTAGATGAGGATATTCTCACCTAGGCCCTCCTGCAAGGATGGTCTTACAACAAGCTGAGCTATGGGCACTTATCCAAGCCTAAATTCACCTGAAAACAAGGTCAACATTTACACAGATTTTAGGTATGCCTTTGCTACAGTCTACATTCACAAAATGATATACAAGGAAAGAGGATTGTCCCTGAGACAAAATACCCAACACTCAAAATTAAGGAAGGAAAGGTTTGTAGAGGTTTCAGTTTGTAGAGGTTTCAGTCCATAATTAGCTGGCTCCAAGGCAGGGTGGCCTGGAACACTTCAAGGTGGCAGAAGACAGCAAAAGCAACAAGAGCCCAAGGGGAGGGGGAGCAAGCCTCTTTTCCACCCTTCTATTGTATGCAGGCTCTCCACCCTAGGGTGGGTCCTTTACATCCACACCATATCTGTGCCTTCCTCTTGCACAGGCTCAGGATGTTTATAAAGTAAGTGTGACCCCCTGCTTGGACAGTTAAACTTCTAAACTTCTCAAGTTGACACCATGTATCAACCATAACAATCCCTCTACCCTTTCTAGCAAGGGAATCCAGTGGGGCACAGTTCTGATAAAAAAGACTGTGCATATGGGGAGGGATCTATGATGACTGGGCACAAGTACTATGGACCATCCAATGGCAAGGCTGGACTTCCTCCATAGTCTGCCCTAAACTCAAGCCAAATTCACCCTTGCCTGAAGGTTAACCCCACCCAACTGTCAAATCAATCAATGCAGTCCCCTTTGACTGATTATTAACAACTCTGGTGCCAGGAATCAGACCTCTTCAGTCTTCCTATGGTATGGGTTAGGGGCAGATGTCACCAAGTGAGACTGCATTAAAATGTTATCCCTAAGACTGTCACCACTGACACCCACACTGTCCCCTATGAATACAATCTTTGGACCTACCCACTCACCCAAACCCACCACCCTGCAAATGACCCAGTTAAAGTCAGAGTTATTCAAGTTACTGACATCAAACAAACTTTAACCATAGAAACTGGTTATGCAGAGAGTAATGCTTGGTATGAATGGGTCAAATACTCCATTAAAAATTATATATTTTTATATATGTATTATATATATTTCATAAAAAATATAAACAAGTTTAATTGTTATGTTTGTGCCTCTGGAAGACCTGGAACCCAGGTGGTCACATTTCTCCTTAACTGGACTTCCAATCCA